AGTCGAGTTGGCCGACTTGGCCGCCTAGACGATCGGCCGACTAGCGACCGCCTACTCCCCTCTTTCCCTTGGCCTAGGAGCGCCTGTTTTTTGGTCGATTTTTACAACACTGAAATTTTCACAAAAGAACAAGAGTAAGGATCCGTTTAGAAAGTAGGAAAATCACTTCTGGAAAATGTTTTCTGCAAAATGACTCATTTTCCAAAGAACATTTTCCTTTCCTTCCTGTGTTTGGCTGCACATCGAAAAACTGTTTTTTTTTTTTCTTTTGTGTTTGGTTCATTTTCTAAAATGAATAGAATTTTATACTTCAACATTTTAATTGTTATATACTCAAAAATATATTTTTATTGTTTTGCGTAGAATATAACAATTTTTATTTCAAATTCCATGCAACATAAATTTTGGTTGTATTTAATCATAATGCCTTTGCTCTCAATCTATCTTTCCAGTACTAAAACCATTGTCACAATATGAAAACTTGAAACCACAATTACATGTTAGAAACCACATAAAGGAATCAACAAAATCTAAGTCTTGAAAATTAAAGTCCATGATAAAGTCTTAGGATCCAATATAACCAAGTATTAGGATCCAACATAACCAACTAGTCAACTACAAAGACATACATAAAAATCAAGTCTTCGGGCTGGGCGTGAGGTGTTCTTAAAGAATGTACTCCAAGCGATGACGTGTTATGCCATGATGGTTTTCTTTCTGGCTGTGGGGTTATATGTAACGATATTGAGTCAGTTCTAAACAGGTATTTGTGGTCCGGTTCTGCTACTGAAGGAAGGGGTTTAAGATGGAAATCTTGGAACGGAATGTGTTTACCAAAGGAAAAGGGAGGTTTAGGGTTCAGACGCATTCAAGGGATGAATTTGTCTCTCTTAAGCAAACAGGTGTGGCGCTTACTTACGAGACCTGAATCACTTGTTGCGAAGGTGTATAAAAGCCGTTACTATCCTAAGTGCTCCTTATTTGAGGCCACCTTTGTTAGAAAATAATTCAATTCTGTGGCTCAAAATCCATTCCACTCACCATGATGCACCACGTACTGTTGTCCGTCCACGTCGCATGCATAGTAGCCTTCTCATTGCACGTCTCCGCCGGAAGTGGTGCCTTGCATCCTAAATGCCGCATTTATCTCTTTCTTTCTCTATGTATAAATAGCTTGTTAGCTTTGTAATTAACGCACCAATTCATTCATTATCTTTTCCTTTTAGCTACTTCACGTAGCATACATATATATATTATATTAATTTCTTTAATCATCTTTGAGTGATAATATATAATATATATATTCTCCATATTCCTATTTCTTTGTGTCATTTATATTTTCCCCTATTACTCAACTTCTATAATTCTCAATTTTTGATTCGTCGCTTCCGCATTATTCCGCTATATTCCTAACAAGTGGTATCAGAGCCAGGTTTAATTGAGAGTTATTTTCAAAGATGTCGACTGTTACCAAGTTCGATATCGAGAAGTTCGACGGGAAAATTAGTTTTTCTATCTGGAAGGTTCAGATGGAAGCCGTTCTAACCCAGAACGGTTTGAAGAAAGCTCTAGCTGGTAAGAAGAAGAAACCAGCTACAATGACAAATGAAGCTTGGGAAGATTTGGATGACAAGGCACGTTCAACCATTCTTTTGTGCCTGTCTAAAGAGGTTCTACGTGAGGTAGTAAGTGAGACGACTGCGTCAGATTTATGGTCCAAGTTGGATACGCTTTACATGGCCAAAACTCTGGCGAACACGCTGCGCCTGAAGGAGCGTCTGTACACAATCCGTATGACGGAAGGTACTTTTATTAAGTCTCACTTAGATGAATTCAATTCTATTTTATTGGACTTGGAAAATATTGATGTCATAATTGACGATGAGGATCGTGCTGTTTTATTGCTTGTTTCTCTCCCTAAATCATACAAGCATTTCAAAGAAATTATGCTGTATGGTAATAGTAGTGATACCCTTACTTTCGACAATGTTAAGTCAAACCTATTGTCCAAAGAAAAGTTTGACTTTGAAATTAAGTCTGAGGACAAAGGTGAAGGCTTGACTGTAAGGGGTCATTCACTTGAAACAGAGAGTAGCAATAAAAAATCTAGATCCAAGTCCAACAAATCCTGTAAGTACTGCAAGAAGCATGGTCATGATGTGACTGAATGCTTCAAGCTGAAAAACAAGCAAGAGAGAGAAAAGAAGTCCGCTGAAGCTAGTGTTGTTGAAAGTGATTCAGATGGTGATGTGTTGTTATCTGTTAGCTCCGGTGAGAAACGGAATGAAACCGAGTGGATTTTGGACTCTGGTTGTACATTCCACATGTGTCCCCACAAAGATTGGTTCATTTCTCTGGAACCGGTTGATGGTGGAGTTGTCTTGTTGGGTAATGATACCCAATGCAAGGTTAGTGGAATTGGAAGTGTTCAGATTAAAACTTGTGATAACGTTATCAGGACTCTTACCAATGTGCGGTATATTCCTGATTTGAAACGCAATCTGATATCGTTGGGAACCTTGGAATCTCTGGGGTACAAGTACATAGCAGAAGGTGGAGTTTTGAAGGTCATAAAAGGCTCTGTTGTTCTCATGAAAGCTTCTCGTTCTGGAAGCGTGTACGTCTTGCATGGCAGTACTGTGACAGGTTCAGTAGCGGTATCCTCATCGGTGTCTGATGCGAATCTCACTCAGTTATGGCATATGCGTCTGGGGCATATGAGTGAGAAAGGCATGCATATCCTGAGCAAGAAAGACCTCCTTGGTGGTTCAGGTACGGGTAAATTACAATTTTGTGAGCATTGTATTTTTGGGAAACAAAAGAGGGTTAGTTTCTCTACTGCTACACACCGTACCAAAGATGTATTGGAATATATACATTCCGATTTATGGGGACCGACTAAATTCCAGTCTATGGGAGGCTGTAGATATTTTATGTCTATTATTGATGACTTTTCTCGTAAAGTCTGGGTCTATTTCCTGAAACATAAAAATCAGGCATTTTCTATTTTCAAGACGTGGAAAATACTTGTTGAGACTCAGACAGGTAAAAAAGTAAAGAAGCTCAGGACAGACAATGGCTTGGAGTTCTGTGAGTCAGATTTCAATGACTTCTGTGCGGCAAATGGAATCGCCAGGCACAAGACCTTGCCTGGTAAACCCCAGCAGAATGGTGTTGCCGAACGTTTGAACATGACTCTATTGGAAAGAGCTCGTTGTATGCTCTCTAATGCTGGGTTATGGAAACGGCGTGATTTTTGGGCCGATGCCGTTTCTACTGCATGCTATTTGGTAAATAGATCTCCACATTCATCCCTTGATTTCAAAATTCCAGAGGAAGTTTGGTCAGGTAATCCTGTTGACTACTCTATCTTAAGAGTTTTTGGATGTCCTGCTTATGCTCATTCCAGTACGGGTAAATTAAACCCGAGAGCTGTCAAATGCATTTTCCTTGGTTATGCCTCTGAGTCAAAAGGGTATCGTCTATGGTCTCCTGATTCTCGGAAAGTCATTCTGAGTCCAGATATCACTTTTGACGAAAATTCACTACTTTCTTCTGGAAAAGTTCCCAGTACAGGTGAGACGCAAAGTATTGGTGAGAAGGTGGAGTTTGAATTCAGGCCTATTGATAGTGTTACTACTGATGATGGTAATACTAAAGATGATGCATCTACTAGCACTGCACCTCTCGTCGAGCCACAACGAGAGTATTCCATTGCTATGGATCGTCCTAGGAGGACAATTAAGAAACCTGCTAGGTATGCTAGTGATGATGAAACCAACTTGGTTGCTTATGCTCTTTCAGTCACACAGGAGGTTGATGGTGTTCCATCCTGCTATTCCGAGACTCTTCCTGTTGCTAAGTTCAAGTAGTGCTTGAGTTTAGTCGGGCTGTTCCAGTTATTAATTTCCACAATAGATTTGATCCAAGGTGGAGATTGTTAGAAAATAATTCAATTCTGTGGCTCAAAATCCATTCCACTCACCATGATGCACCACGTACGGTTGTCCGTCCACGTCGCATGCATAGTAGCCTTCTCATTGCACGTCTCCGCCGGAAGTGGTGCCTTGCATCCTAAATGCCGCATTTATCTCTTTCTTTCTCTATGTATAAATAGCTTGTTAGCTTTGTAATTAACGCACCAATTCATTCATTATCTTTTCCTTTTAGCTACTTCACGTAGCATACATATATATATTATATTAATTTCTTTAATCCTTTTTGAGTGATAATATATAATATATATATTCTCCATATTCCTATTTCTTTGTGTCATTTATATTTTCCCCTATTACTCAACTTCTATAATTCTCAATTTTTGATTCGTCGCTTCCGCATTATTCCGCTATATTCCTAACAACCTTCAATTCGGGAGTAATCTTTCTTTCGTATGGCGGGGAATTCTGGAAGCTATGAATGCAATGAAATCGAGATGCTATAGGAGTATTGGTGATGGCAATAGTACTTTGATAGGCATTGATCTGTGGTTGCCGTGTGTAGACAATCCCTACGTGACAACTGATTTGCATGTTTCGATAAATGCATCGTCTGTTTCTTCCCTTCTAAATGAGCATGGATTGAGATGGGATGAGGATTGTGTAAAAGATACTTTTAATGTGCGCGATGCAACGGCTATCTTTAATATCCCAGTAAGTCATCGTAAACTTTTTGCATGGGTTTGTGTCTTATGTTATGAATTTATGTGTTTTGTGTTATGAACACAAATTATGCACCTAAATCATATTTAAAAAATAAATAAATATATAACATGTGTATGTGTTTTGTGTTATAAAATTTTGTATCTTACGAGCATGAATTTTGTACCTCGTCATTTCAATTCAGCTGGCCTGGGTCCATAATACTATGCTTTGTATCTTGTGTTGTAATTTGTATTATGAAATTTTGTACCTTATGAATATAAATTATGTATCTCATTGTTTCAATCTATAATCCATAATGCTATGTGAATCCTGGTCCACGATATAAATTGTCTTGGGCTTGATTGTACTCAATATTGGTAGCTATATGGGTGGAGTTGATCTCTGGCAAAATGATTTAGAGCATGATGATGACTTTGAGCATCAATCTATGCATGATAAAATGCTTGAAGTTGTTTGTGTTTCTGGAGCATGGCACCTTGGCAAACTTCAGGTTTGTAGTTTCCTCCGTGCTTCCTCTTTAACTTGTACTTCTATAGCCATTCCTTGTGATTGCCAATTATATATACTCTTTTATTTATTTCATGCCTTATTGATTTAAAGTTCAATCTCTACCTCAAACTCAAATTGAGGCTGAGTTAATGGAAAGTATTGGTCTGTTAAACCATTACTATTCAGTAGTCTATATATATATATATATATATATATATATATATATATATATATATATATATATATATATATATATATATATATATATATATATATATATTTGTAAATTAAATATCTTAACAGTATTATTCTTTTTTTATTTATTTTTTATTCTTTTATTTTTAAAACCCTAGAATTAGAGTATTCAAATCCTGTGACACGTGCTTAACATCTCCATAACCAAAAGTCTGCCTTTTCTGTTAAATATATATTCACTAGAGATGCCTTTACCAAGTGCACTTCTGCCATGTTATAATTTACTTAAATAATACAGTAAAAATTATCCTCTATACTATCTGAAACACTCATGCTTCTAAATTTCCAGGTTGGGCTTTCCCAAGCAAGGAGACTGGCCCAAGGTGGAACAATAAGGATACACATCTCCAGTCCTTTCCCAGTCCAAATTGATGGGGAACCATTTATACAGCAACCAGGATGCTTAGAGATCACACACCACAAACAGGTATTAGGTGCTGCTGGCTGAATTTAAGATGATTGTGAATCAATTTTCCAAAATGTTTATTTTTGAGATTGACCACTTAGGTGAAAGTAATATTCCAATGTTGGGTGTGTAGGTGTTTATGTTGAGGAGGACATCACGGTTGGACGGGCGAAGAGGACATGCAGCAGCTATCATGACAGAGGTTTTGGTGGATGCCGAATGTAAAGGCGTGATCAGTGCAACTCAAAAGAACATGCTTCTTCAGCAGATAGCTCTTCAACTTTCTTGATTCATAATTGCAACCATCAGCGCCGGCAAAAAAAAGTTCAATTTTACTTCTCATACCCCCACTGTCTTAGTTTGTATAATTGAAAATCTTCATAGGAGGGATGCTTGAAGATTTATGTCACGTCGAATGCCTGCTCATTTTATGTTATCAATTATGTATAGTTTATCATTATTTAGGCTAATATATGGACTATATTCCATGTTACATAATAATAAGTAATTACTAATTAATAATATCCAATTATATAAATAAATATGTCATTGTAGATATCATTGTAGCTCAATGAAATCTCTGTAATTTTTCTAAATGGAAGGTAGGTTCCAACCATTAGCAGAGACATTGACTCTTAGGCTAACCCCATCCTAGAAATGATTCCACTTGCAAGATGAGGTGGCAAAAAAAAAATTATTATTTTTATTAACAACTCATGTCATGTGTCTAGCAAGCCTTTTATTTAGAAAGCTTGCTAACACTTACAAAGGCTGCCGCATGGCAGCCTTTGTGTACCTTTTCTTTTTTAATTTTTTTATTTGTGTACTTTACTTATTTGTTATATTATTTTATTATTATGTTTATAATATAATATGAAAGTGAGACCATTTTAGAAAGTCAGAGAATATTGTAGGGATGTAAAATAAATAGTAGATAATTTGTAAATTTGATGATGTGAAAGTGGGATACATTTAGAAAGTGAGAGAAATTTTTGGGATAAGGATAGCCTTAGTATTTTTTAGTAGGTTAGAAAAATATATATGAACAGATACTACTATATTGCAATTGAATTCGTAATACTAACCAAAAAAAAAAAAACAATTTTATCATTTAAGATAATGTCTTTGATAGCGGTATTATAATTATATATATATATATATATATATATATATATATATATATATACCCCCACTCTGACCAGTGACCAGCATCTTATCAAATTCTCACGTGTGTATGATACCCATCATTTCACTTTCTACGAAGTATTTTTTATTCTTCTCTTCCGGTCAGCCGCCCACCGGAAACAAATTTCTTCCGCGTACCAGGAGGACCAGGGATGCCCAGACTGCAGCTAATGATGCCGATAAATACGGGGCTGATGCTGCGGCCATTAGCCCCACCATTCAATTTCCGCTCTTTAATTTGCTTCGTCCACATACGCAACAACTCCGATCCCACTCCCGCTCTTTGAAGATAGATCGTTTCCATCCCCAGGTGCGAATTGCGATGGAAAGCAACGGCGGCGTTTACTACACGCACAATTTGCCCACTGTGATGGTGACCAACGACGACGGAGTGGACGCTCCTGGGTTGAGAACTCTGGTTAGCGTCCTCGTCTCCACTAATCGCTTCAACGTTCTCGTTTGCGCTCCCGACTCCGAGAAATCGGCTGTTAGTCACAGCATTACCTGGCGTCACGCAATTCAGGCCAAAAGAGTTCACGACATTGCCGGAGCCACCGCGTTTGCAGTTGCCGGAACACCAGCAGATTGTGCCTCCCTGGGTATCTCAAAAGCTCTGTTTTCTTCAGTCCCTGATTTGGTGATAAGCGGTATAAATATGGGCAGCAACTGTGGCTATCACATTGTCTACTCTGGAACCGTTGCTGCTGCCCGAGAAGCTTTCGTCAATGGCGTCCCCTCTGTCTCTCTATCATATGACTGGGTTCATGGAAAGAGCAATCTTGATGATTTCACACTAGCTGCTCAGGCTTTCATACCCATCATTACTGCTATATTGGGTGATATCAAGAATCAAACTTATCCCCTTAATTGTTTTCTCAATGTTACTGTGCCAACCGATGTTGTGAACCACAAGGGTTATCGCCTCACTAAGCAAGGCAAAAGTTTCATCAGAACTGGGTGGAAGCAAGTTAATTGTGAAGCAGAAGGAGGGAAGATGTTATCAACTATGACTATGGACATGACTCCAACACAAACTGCACAACAAAGTGTTGTTAGCACTCAGGGGGATCAGTTTCTATTCACTAGAGAAGTGAGATCACTTTCCCTTAATTAGCTTTCTTTTTTTCACTATATCGTTACTTTTCTTCAGTTTTCATAACATATCGTCTAAATTGTTTCCTTTCATTCTAACAGGTTAGAGCAAAACAAGTAGATACACATGGAACCGATTATTCTTCTCTTCAAGAAGGATATGTAAGTAATGTTTGTTTATTTGATATTTATGTTTCTATTGCTATTTAATTTGTTGGGGTCTTATGATTAACATATCGCTTATTTGTTTATTATAGATAACTGTCACTCCCATCAGTGCTTTGTTTAATGCCGACATAGATGGTGTAACATTCTTCAACAAATGGTTGCCTTCTTTGAACGAACACTCAAATTTTGCTTGTAAGATTCAAGCTTCTCTACAAAAAGAAGGGGATACACGTCATTTGGATTCCAGCTCCGCTTCAGAATTGTTGTGCTAGTTCCACAATAGTCACAAGCTCATGTATTTGATTAGGCTGGAAAAATTATTCTTTATTATATATTTTAATCGATATCAATAGATTCATGCATTTAATTAATTAGTTGAAACTGCACGTTAATAGGCTAGCTTCTAATTATATTGTTTTTGGTGATGCTTAAATTTCTAGCATGTTGTAATTTCATTTTGTTGGAAAGATGTAACTATATATATTTTGTGGTAAAATAATATGAGTGATACGCGGTATTATTTAAATCCTCGTATTGGTTGCAATTTCAATGGACTCTCTACTTGACATTTTTAACTTTTGAATTATCTTTTATGCATGTCAAGCACATTGTGATTTAATGACATCATTGTTGCATTTCACGAGACCAAGTACATTGTGATTTGATGACATCATTGTTGCATTTCACGAGGAAGGTTATTGTAGGTTGAAATTTCATCCCATTTGCATCGTTTACTCTTCCCATTTGCATCGTTTACTCATTTCATCATCAAATTTAGACTCATCTATCTACTAATTGGTCTAAACATGTTGTTTAATGCATCAAAACCTTTCAAATTGAAAATATAAAAATTTAAATCCATCAAAACCTTTCGAAGTGAAAATATAAAAATTTAAATGGATCAAAACCTTTCAAAGTAAAAATATAAAGCAATTTGATCATTTAAGCACATAAATAGATAAGGCAACCATAAAATAATCAATAATAACGTGGTGAAGGGTGGTATAATTTATGCATGTGTTATCACTAGACACTAGTGGTGTTAGCGAACAGAGCTTTTGATAAACTACTCGTGTTCGTATTCGGTAAGCATTCGTTTATGTTCGTTTGTTAAGGTAAACGGACCATTAACAAACAAAATTTAGAGCTCGGTTGATAAACGAACAGAGTTTGAACAGTTGTATGCTCGTTTGCTAAGAGATCGTGAACAAACTCGTTTGTCTTCATTTAATAATGTTCGTGAACAAGCTTGTTTGTGTTAGTTTAATAATGTTCGTAAACAAGCTCGTTTTGTGTTCGTTTAATAATGTTCACGAACATGTTCATAAACATATATATATATATATATATATATATATATATATATATATATATATATATATATATATATTATATTGTGATTATGAACGTTGATTATTTCTTGAACGTAGATTATTTGTTGTTCACGAATGAATTGTGATCATGAACATGTGCAGGTGTTTGGTTATTAAAAGTTCACGAACGTGTTCATGAACGTAAACCAGCATGTTCGTGAACAGGGACGGAGCCAGAAATTCGGTTGAGGGGGGACAAAATTAGGGATGGCAATTTCAATCCGACCCGTGGATATCTACCCGAATCCACCCCGCATGGATCGGGTTTTTTTGGGTGATGGTGGGTGGTGGGTCGGGGGTGGGTTTTAAAAAAGCAAACCCGCGGTGGGTCGGGTTGGATTCGGGTTCTATGTACAAGATCCGCCTAGAATCCCACCCGACCCACCATGTGTATATATATATATATATATATATATACTAAAATAAGTACTAGTATATATGTAGTTGTTTATAAAAGTTTATATAACTTCGTGTATCTTTTTACTATTTTTTATATCAAAACTACTAAGTTTATTTTTAAAAATTAACAATTTAGTTGTTATATATTTAAATATTTTCATTATTTATGTTTTTAGTATCACTAATGGATTTTATTTTTTATTATGTGTAAATAATTTAAATATTATTTTTTAAAAAACATAATATGATGATAAGTGGTGAGTACCCGTAGTGGGCACCCGCACCCAGTGGGGGTGGGGGTGGGTTCTGAAAAAGTTCACCCGATGCGGATTGGAGGTGGGGGTGTGTGGAGAAAATATAAGGTGGGTCGGGAGATGGATGTAGCCCTCCCCGACCCACACCCGACCCATTGCCATCCATAGGCGAAACAGTACAGACGTCAGACAGATCCAGAAAATTTTTTCAATAAAGGCGAAGCATTAAAACAAAAGAGATAATATAAAAATAAATAAATAAATTACTTAAGAAATATAGTTGTAAATATTGTAGGACATGGACAAAAAATAAAACACATCGAAACTTTATAAAAATATTCATAACAAAATATGAAACATAATTAATTTGATAAAATAATTTGAATAGAAAACACATTATAAATTACACATCTCATTATTAATATAAAAGAATGGTATATATATGTGTGCGTGTGTGTGTTTAAAAAAGCTATTAAAAACGTGACTATGTTGAAGTCATAGGGCAATGAGTAAAAAGAATTGTAAAACTATATCAATGCCAAGATTTGAACCCTAGACTTCACTATCACTATTACCAAATATGTGCTTTACCATCTAATCTAACTCACTCCCTAAAAACATTTTATAGTTTTTATATACTAATACTAAAACTTGTACCATATATACATATATACATACAAAGACTATATATGGGGTGGGGGCGGGGGCAGCCGCCCCCCTGCCCCCCCTTTGGCTCCGTCCCTTTCGTGAACGTGCTTGTTAACGAACATGTTTGTGAACGTGTTTGTTAATGTTAACGAACACATTCGTGAACGTGTTCGCGAATGTTAACAAACAAATACTAATGAATGCTTAACAAACGAACACAAATAGGATTTTCAAAAACCTTAACAAACGAATACGAACACTTCAAAATTCTTAACAAACGAACACGAATAACCTCCGTTCATTTATGTTCGGTTTGTTAACAGCCCTAGTTATCACCCGTCATACTACTTCTGAATCAACCACAAATTGCTAGACCCAATGATTTGGAAGTGTTAATAAAAATAGTTGTATTATAAGATTCAGTTATAATTAAGAATATTAAGTTATATTTGGAATAATATTATTAGATTCAACTAGTATCACACTCGTGCGTTGCACAATAATATTTAAAAACCAATAAAATTAGGACTTAAAGGAATTAATATCAAGTTATTTAAAATATTACACAAGACGTATAATATTTTTTTTTTAGATATATAAACATTAAAATCCCCTAAATGTTAAATGCTTTTTATTACATCATATACCATATCCCAAAGAAATCATAAATGTAAATAAATCAGTTATAATTCATATTTATTGAAAAAAAAAATGCAAACATAAAGAGCCAATACCCCCACAAGAGTTTAAACTGTTGACCTCCAATTTGAAAGAATTATAACTATATCATTTCACCACAAGATCTTTAACATTATTTTATTAACTTTACTATAATTAAAAAAAATTAACTTTATCATTATAATTTTAATTTTAAATAGAAAAATAAATATAAATATCAAAATAAAAATTCAAAATCAAATTTTAAATACTATATATACCAACCATTAATTAAATTTTAAATTTTAAAAATTAAATTTCATATAAAATTTTTAAAAATTAAATAACAAAAAAAAAAAAGCAATCAAACCATTTCAATGGCTTGATTGTGGTAAAAAAAAATTATAAAAAAAAAAAACCAAAATAGTAAAACAAAATATTTCAATATAGCATATGGTGGAGGACAGACCATCTGCGCTTCTTTACGGTGCGTTTGTCTAATTTTTTGTAAAAATATTTTCCGCACAAAACGACGTCGTTTTGAGTTGAAACCCAATTTTAAAAAAATTGCACCCGACTCGATCGAATTTGGAGCCGAGTTGGCCGACTCGGCCGACTTGCGACTGTCTACTCCCCTTTTTCCCTCGACCTAGGAGCGCCTGCCTTTTTGGTCGATTTTTACAACACAGAGATTTTCAAAAAAGAACAAGAGTAAGTGTCCGTTTGAAAAGTAGGAAAATGACTAATGAAAAATGTTTTCTGGAAAATAAGTCATTTTCCTGAAAACTGTTTCTTTTTCTGTGTTTGGCTGCACAATGGAAAATGTCTTTTTTTGTGTTTGGTTCAATTTCTAAAATGAACGGAATTTTATACTTCAACATTTTAATTGTTATATACCCAAAAATATATATATATTTTTTTGTTTTGTGTAGAATATAACAATTTTTATTTCAAATTTCATGTAACATAAATTTTGGTTGTATTTAATCATAATGCATTTGCTCTCAATCTATCTTTCCAATACTAAAACCATTGTCACAATATGAAAACTTGAAACCACAATTACATGTTCGAAACAACATAAAGGAATCGCGACGGACTATATTCCGTCGCCATTTAGCGACCAAAATTGCGACCGAATACATTCCGTTGCAAAATGATGATGGAAAAGGCAACGGAATTAAATTCCTTCGCGAATCTTGGCGCAAAGATAAATAAAGCCCGCGAAACTTTAGCGGCAAAATATTCACGACCAAATTTGCCACCGAACTAATTTACGTCATCCATGTCGCCACGGAAAAGGTGACCAATTTTTGTTCTGTCGCGAATTGGCGACTGTCTCAATTTCGTCGTTAAAATGATTAAGTTTTTGTGTATAGACTAAAAATGGCGACTGAAAAGGCGACCAAATTTTATTCCGTCACAATATTTTTGTTAAAGTTTATTTTATTTTTTTCCTTAAACGATGATGTTTTGAATACCAAATTAAAATTAAAATAAATAAAAATTATAACCCTACATACGCTAAGTGAACTCAGACTCCCATCCTCCACAACACTCTCCTACACTAGGTGTCTTCTCCCATCTTCCACAGCGCTCGCTGCAAGCAGTCGCTGACCACTCAGAGTTTAACACTGCCATCACCGTCGCCGTGCAGCTGTCTCCGACGACGGATGGTGCAACAAAAATCATTCGTCGTCGCCTCCTCCTCGCAGAAATCAGGTAATTCTTTAATTTGTTGAACCCTCCTGATGAATTGTTAAATTTGAACCCTAATTTCTTATGAATAGCTAGTGTATTGAACCCTAATTTCTCTGGCTTTGACTAATTTGTTGAACCCTCCTGAACTCAAGATATTTGCCAAAGGGTTCTGCCACTTTTTTATGTTTGGAGTTTTTGAAGCCTTTCTCTAAGGTAAGGGGAGTCTGACTTTTGGACCTTTATTAGGAGTATATATTGAGAATCTGTTGTCAATTTAATTAGATTATACTGTTTGAGAGTTGAGATAAAGGCTGAATTGAGTGTAGTTGATTTACTTCTTGAGAATTCAATATGATGACTTGATGAGCCGATGAGGTATTTGCATGTGTATCTTTATAAAAAAGAATGCAGCAAACTCAGCATTGAAGTTAGTCTGAATTATGCATAATACTTTAAATTTCTATTTCCAGAGAGGTGTTTGGAAATGAAAAATGTGATGTGTGACTTGTAACTAGCACTCTTGTTCAATACTTAAATACTTAATAAAGCTACCTGGATTAATTTATATATGTATTGAATTATATTTCATTCCTTAATTCTTGTTTAAAGCTAAATTCATCAAAAACATTTCCATGCACCAGCCTTATATGCCAAATATTGTTTACTGTTATCTAGGTTTAAGAGTTGTTTCTCTTACTTCTATCTATTATAAGGATGTCCAATGGCAGTACTGATCTAATGCTCTTTTATTTACTTTATTCTCTGCATTATTCTGATTTCAGATCCTAAATGTGTAAAGGCATGCCTGCCTAGACAGAATATTTCTATCCTGTTTTTTTTTTTTTTTTTTTTTTTTTTTTTTTTTTTTTTTTTTTTTTAAGTCTACTCTTAATAATCCAAGAATAATGATGTTTGTTTTGAATTCTCAAGGATCTTAACATGTTGTTTGCAGTGTATTTGTATCCACTGTGAAGAGGTTGCGCGTGTCGAAAACCTCAGAACTATCAACTCCAAAGTCCAAACCGTGAGTTAGATTTCATCCTGAATAAACACTGAATTATATTTCATCCTTAATTCTTTGTTTAAAGCTAAATTCATCAACAACATTTCCATGCACCACCCTTATATGCCAAATATTGTTTACTGTTATCTAGGTTTAAGAGTTGTTTCTCTTACTTCTATCTATTATAAGTATATAAGTCGAATATTGCGAGTCAGGACTACAATATTCTTGTTGGCCTATCATCATTACACCATATAATTTGCCTCCATCTATGTGTATGAAAGAGCCTTATATGTTTCTGATTACAATAGTGCCTGGACCCAACAACCCTAAGAACAAACGGGATGTTTTCCTACAACCTGTTATTGCTGAATTGAAACAATTATGGGAAGAAGGTATGCTAACTTATGATGTGTCTTTGCAACAAAATTTTCAAATGAGAGCTGTTTTGATGTGGACAATTAGTGATTTCCCAGCGTATGTTATGTTATCAGGTTGGGGAACAACAGGAAAATTAGCATGCCAGTATCGTAGGGAACATCCACAAGCATTTCGACTTCTAAATGGTGGAAAAATATCATGGTTTGACAATCATAGGATATTCCTTCCACTTAATCATCCATTTCGCTTGAACAAAAGATGATTCACGAAAAATCATGTGGAAATGGGTCATCCTCCACCGATTAAGAATGTCATAGAAATTTTAAGGGAAATCAAAGAATTTGGAATATTAAAAGAAGAGGTGAAACAAATAATGCAGTCGTAGTTGTGGATGGAGAAAATGAAGTATTTTTTGGGAATTTACCATATTGGGAATCAAGTCTCATTCGACATAATCTTGATGTCATGAACATCGAGTAAAATGTTTTTGAGAATGTTTCAATACAGTAATGAACATTCAAGGTAAAACAAAAGACAGTGTGAAAGCAATAGAAGATGTAAAACTCTTTTGTAACAGAAAAGAGTTAGAAAAAAACATTGCCACAAGTAAATATCCAAAAGCTTGTTATTCATTAGACAATAAGCAGAAACAAGTGCTATGTGAATGAGTGAAAATTATGAATTCCAGGATGGTTATGCGTCAAATATGGGAAGGTGTGCAGATATGTGCAAATACAGGCTATTTGGAATGAAAAGTCATGATTGCCATGTTTTCATGCAAAGGTTAATGCCAATTGCATTTCGCGAGATGTTGCCAACCAAGGTTTGGGAAGCAATAACTGAATTAATCATTTTCTTTAAAAGCTTAACTGCAAGAGTCATTAAAGTTGAAGAAATGATATGATTAGTAGATGAAATCTCAGTAATTCTCTGTAAATTGGAGAACATATTTGTTCCGGGATTTTTTGACTCAATGGAGCATTTGCTAATACATTTGTCATATGAGGCTAAGATTGCTGGGTCTGTTCAATATCGTTAGATGTATGGGTTTGAAAGATAACTTCTATAGTTACTTTTTCTTTAAAATATTAATGATGTTAGATGTAATCGTATCTAATATTTGAATAAGTTTTATTCTTTTTTCACTTTAGATTGCTCCATGAGTTGAAAAAAGATGTAATAAACAAGGCTAAAGTGGAAGGGTCAATTTTCAATGCATACTTAGTGCGTGAAGCCTCTATATTTTGTTCTCATTATTTCGAGCCGCACGTTTATACACGTAGTCGAAATGTACCTCAAAATGATGATGGAGGAGTTTATGAGGAAAACGAAGAAAATCTGTCCATATTTAAATATCCTAGTCGCTTATATGGAAGATGTAAGACAAGAAGACTAACCGATGCAGAGTATTTGGCAGCACATACTTATATATTGCTTAATTGTGAGGAAGTGCAACCTTACATTAAGTTCCACATCAATCAATTAATTAATGATAGTTGAATCATTCGTGAGTTTATAATAGTGTTATATAAATTTACAGTTTATATGAAGAGATGTTGAAAGAACTTGATCCCAGCCACAACAAAATTTCGAGTTAGAACTTGCAACACAGCTACAACAAAATTTTGATCCCAGAAGATATGCTGATTACATAAGCAGAATAAGGAAAAAGCCAAGACCTTCCTATATCCCACCAGAAATATGGACAAAATGGAATGATGTTTGGAATTCTGAGAAGGGCAAGAAGAAAACAGAATTGGCTAAGAGAAATAGGCATGGAGGATTTTTAACTGGAGTTGCTCAATCTACCCATACCACAGGGTCAACACCTCACGTAAAAGTTGCAGCTCAACTTGTAAGTTCATTTGAATTGTTTAAGTTATAAGTATTATGTGTTTTGTATTATGTGGTCTGTAATTGCTTTTTTTTTTTGGAGTTAATTTCATCTGTCAAAGTATTGTGCAATTGCCTTACTAGAGTTTCATCAATTTGGAGACAAAAAGAATGCAGCAAATTAAACTCAGCATTGAAGTTAGTATGGATTATGCAGAATACTTTAAATTTATGTTTCCACAGAGGTGATTGGAAATGAAAAATTTGATGTATGACTTGTAACTAGCACTCTTGTTCAATACTTAACTACTTAAGGAATGAGAAAAGCCTTCTGCAGATTATAGGATTCATGTTTATGAATGCAAGTAGTGTCAAACAGTGCAATCAAAGAAGCTCTACAGCTTGAATTAGAAAAATCTTCTGTAGACTACACACTTCATAATCATAAATTGAAGCAGTCTCAAGCAGTCTTTCATATTTTCATATAATATACTTGGATTTAGAGGGACGTGAGTTGTATATCATGAGATTGGAGGTTTCTGGCTGGTTCAATATGTTTATAGGGAAGCAAATGGGCTATTAGTTGACCATGTCTACATTTTGTCTTTATTTGTTTGATATCCTTCTAATAATGGTATTCCACTGATTTCTACTATTACTTCCTAACATGCTATAGGGGTTGCAACTTACCTGACCCCAACTTTTATGCTTTCTGTTGATTGTGATTGTGTTTTATTATGTTTATTGATTTATGTTGGAGACTATAATTGACTTGTATTATATATTGAACAGGGAGATAGTATTATATACAAAGGAAACTCTGCAGAATTTTTTCTTACTTTAATAATTGCTTTTGTTTGTTAAATATAATTTGTAGCAAGGGAAATTGGGTCATTGTCCATCGAATTATGAACTGTTCAAGCATACACATACCAAACAACACGATGGGCAAACATTCGTAGCTGAAAAAGCCAAACAAATTCATGTAAGTTTAATTTATTTTAAGTTTTTAAAATATATGTCTTTACATATATTTTGTACTAAATTTCTTACATATTTTAGGAACAAGTTGAATCGCAACGTGAGATGTTGGCAGAAAATAGGGAGCAGGTGGGTGATAATCAATTATACTATAACGTGGTTGGTGGACACGACAAGAAAAGAAGAGTTTATGGACTTGGTTCATATGGTTGTTTCATGGTCCAACTAATGATAACACTTTTGGCAATATGACACCAACATCGCGACCACCCGACAATGCTACTTCTACTTCTGCAAATGTACAACATGAAATTCAGAGTTTGAAGGCTACTATTCTCTTTATGCAACAACAACTTGATGTTATTGATGGCGAGAGAGCAGGTACTTCATCATCACTCCATCTCAAATCAATTGATTTTAATGGTTGTTTGTTAATGTTGTTTAGACTTGAATTGAGTATTATTATGTATTAAGTGTGGATTGATAATGTATTATTATGTTGTTTAGAATTGAATTGACGATTATATTATGTATGAAATGTGGATTGGTAATGTATTATTACTTGAAGTTAATTTAGAATTATGTTATCTTTTATTTTAAAATTAATAGTATTTTTTATATTAATACTTTAAAGATATTCATTACTGTTTAAAATCATAATTTTATTTTAAAATAATTCAAAAACGCGACAAAATCGCGACGGGATATAAGATTTGCGACGGAATATTTGTTGCAAACGATGCGACGGAATTATGACGGAAAACATTTTCGTTGCAAAATGGGCGACGGAAAAGATAATATGGCGATGGAATATTCGGTTCAGAAATGGCAACTGATTTGCGACGCGAACAGTTCCATTGCGAAATGGGCGACGGAGTAACTCCATTACCATTTGGCGACGGAAGTATTTCGTCGCGAATCCCGTTGCCAAAATTTGCAACGGAATTATTCCGCCATCTATCAAAATACAACAAAGTGATAGACGACGGAATAAAATCCGTCGCAAAATGTGATTCGCGACGAAATATTGCATTTTTCCGTCACGATTCACAATTATTATTTTTTTTTTTGTAGTGAGATCTTTTCTTTAAAAAAATATTAGATTTATGCAATAGTAAAAAAAATAACATTAGAATTATGATAATAAAATATTACCGAGATAAGCTCCATATACGCGGGTGAATCACATGTAATCATCTTCAAATTATCATCCCATCCAAGGCCACTCATTTCCTTCAGCTTGCAAATCATCATCTATGTGTTCTTCACAGTTCTCAAGTGATTCTTCACATGTTTGTGTTCACATCCAACATTAAATTGTTCAGAAATGGCATATGCATCACGGTTGAATGAAGAGACTTTAAAATTATTACTTGGATTATTGGGATTCTTAGCCTCTTCAGCTAATATCTTTAAAAATATTCCTCCATTGGCTTTGTCCATCGAAATTGCCTAGAGGTGATAATTCCCTTTCCCTTATTCATGTTGCTACAATAATAACATAAAAACAATAACAACTAATGTCAACCAATGAAAATAATATCCAATAACAAAGCATAATCAAGTACATAACAATAAGAAATGTTCAACAACTAATAATATCCAATAAAAAAAATGAAAATATGTTGTAATAATGTAAAATTTACCTGCCAAATGCTTTATGATCGAGCGGTATAGCTGTGGCCCCTGACCTGAGAGTTCTTATCTTCGAACCGCAGTGTAAGAGGTATTAACTCTAAGTATATATGAATTTTCTATATTGTAAAAGAAAAAATTACACTTTTGGTCCTATGACTATAGAGGTCTTGTTAATTTCAGTACTTGACTTTAAAAACTAACAATTTAGTCATGCTATGTTTTCTCTTCCAAAGTCGTGTTGAACTTGTGCAGCCATTTAAAATGATCGAAGAAGAACAACATCTAACGTAGCCATTTGAGACTAGCTAATTTTCCCTATCTAAATGAAAAAGAACAACATATACGAAACGTCCAACCGACGACGACGATGGGTGAACAGAATTTTCCAGATTCTTAAACCTGTAACATCTTAACGCATCCATTTGGGACTAGCTAAACTTGTGCAGCTTTTTCCCAATGAAGAAGAACAACATATAAGAAACGTCTAACAGGCGACGGGGATTGGTGAACATAATTTTCCAGATTCTTAAACCTGTTCAAAGAAACATTAACCTTCCAAACAGCTGACGGCGATCGATGAACTACAAACACTGGTTTTAGGACTCCAATGGCACCGCTGAGCTTATTCTGGGACAGGTTAATTTCAAGCAGGGTGGGATTAGACCAAAGTCACGCCGGGACATAGCCCTTCAAGGAATTGTTGGAGACATGTAGGGTGTGAAGACTTGCTGGCGGATTCTGCCGGGAAAAAAATGGAGATTACAAGCATGGAAATGAAGAGAAATTGCAGTATCATTGTTTTGAGTTGAAGGTTTTGTTCAACTCTTGGAGATTGAAGCTCTTGTTCTTCTCATAAGGGTGGAAAGAGAGAGAGAGGGGGGAAGCCATTGTTGCAGAAATTCTCAAAGACCCAAGCTTGGTTGACGACGGTCGTGATGTTCGTGAGAGAGAGGAAGAAGAAGAAATGGCTTGAAATGATCAATTTGTCCTCATGATTAAATAATTAAGGAATAAGGGTCAAATAGGCCATCGAACTGCACCTAATAATACAATTAGGCAACTGAACCCAAAAAATCAACAATTGAGTCCCTAAACTAACCAATTCCTAACAATTCATCCAATTTGAAGGTTTCTAACAGGTCAACAACCAAATTAATTATTTTTAAAAAAATAAAATTTAAAAATTAATTATTAAAAAAAAAAAAAAAACAGAAACGGCCGGAGACGAAGAAACTTCTTCGTCTCCGGCCTGTTTCTTCGTCTCCACGGTCGGAGACGAAGAGTTTCTTCGTCTCCGGCCATGGGGACGAAGAAGGTTTCTTCATCCCCATGGCTGGAGACGAAGAAACTCTTCGTCTCCATGGCCGGAGACGAAGAAATCGTCGTCTCCGGCCGTGGAGACGAAGAAACTGGCCGGAGACGAAGAAATCTTCGTCTCCGGCCGTTTTTTTTTTTTTTTTAATTACTTAAATAATTAATTTTTAAATTTTATTTTTTAAAAAATAATTAATTTGGGAGGATGACCTGTTAACCTGTTGAAAACCTACAAATTGAAAGATTTGTTTGAAATTGGTTAGTTTAGGGACCTGATTGTTGACTTTTTAAGTTCAGTGGCCTAATTGCATTATCTTGTGCAGTTCGATGGCCTATTTGACCCTTATTCCAATAATTAATGCGACATTTGGTGGGTAATTTGACCGGAGGACCAAATGTGTTAAAAATTATATAATTACAGGACTAAATTATTAATTTTTAAAATTAAGTACTAAAATTAAAAAGACCTTTATAATCACAAGACTAAAAGTGTAATTTTCTCAGTGGTAAAACTTATCACATAGCCACATAGGGTTTGAGTGTAATACTAACACCAGTCAGGGGCTGAAGTGAGATTATCACAACATATACTCCGCAGTCCGCAATGGCGCAAAATAAGGAAATTGGTCAACACAATATACGATTTTGACAATAAAAATCCTCCCTTTCTATGGGGACGCTGCTTCCAATGAGTCAGCCATGAAAATGAAAATCTCAGCTCTTTTTCTCACACTCTTCGTTCTTGTCTGCGCAATAGCAGTGACAGTTCATTCTCATTCCCACTTTTCATCAGAGACGAATTTCAAGAAGCACAAGGGCGAGCAATGCAAAGCTTGGCTGGTTCAATCCATTCCGACCGACATGCCGCTTCTCCCTCGCGTCGCCGGCGTTCTATCCTCCGGTAACTCCCTTGCTTACTTAAGGGCGCCCCGGTGTATGTATATGTATAGTGATATTTATATATATATATTGTAGTAAAGTTAAGATTGAGCTATTAAACATTTTATTTTGTGAATGAATACCGTTATTGGGCCATTTTGTGATTTTATCTTGATCTTTAGCTCTCTTTGATTGATGACAAACTATGATGTGTTTATATAATGATGCTTGCAAGTTGCAATGCAGACATTAGAGCGTTTTAGGGACTATTTTCACTTTTCAGAGTGTAGGAGTTTCTTTATGCATATTGATTCAATTTCAATTGGTAGAGCTTATGATTATGGATTGTGGAAGATGAATAACCAAGTCCAAGTTACTTTTGAGTTATTAGCTAAAGTAATCTAAAAGTGTTATTCCCTCATTATTTCATAATCTTTGCCAAACACATAGAGAGTTGATTTCTGATTAAGTAAGCTTTTACCAAACAGGAATAGTTGTGTCTTTAACTTTGGCTATCTTAAGCTTTATGCCTTTATGTGCTGTAAACCTGTAACTCTGTAAGGCACCAACCATATCTTTGGACTTTTGATCTTCAATTGCTCAGCTTAAACCGTGACTTTGAACTTCCTATGTGTTGTTTGCAATCTAAATTCATATATAACTTGTTAGAAAGCTTCGTTTTTGTAAAAATGGTTGTTGGAAAATCAGATTCTTATCAGTCCTTTATTATGTTACTCTTAAAAATTAAAAGTAGAGATTTTCAATTGCATGTCATAGTCAACTCCTCTCTCTGCTGAAATGCTTATGGGTTTGTGTTCCTTATTTAATGCAAATAATTTTATCTGGAAATGTTTATCAGCTGATGTGCTTCAGTGGTTAGCGGGAAATTCTTCAAAGAGTCTTGATATAATTGCCCAATATTGGCAATTGATAGCCAGCCCTTCCAATCCTCTCTCTGGTGATTACGGATACTCAAAGGATGACATGCAGAGATTTGGTGCTAATGATGGGTTGAATGTTTACCGAGCATTAGAAGATGCTGCTAATCGCAACATTGCAATCAGGTAGAAAACTATGGGTCCGTTTACTAACAGAAAACTGTTCTCTGTTTTCTGTTTTCTAATTTTTCAGTTTTCATTATCTGTTTTCTGTTTAGAAAACTTGTTTACTAACAGAAAGTTGATTTAGAAGCAACTTGACTAGCTCTCTAATTTGTGTTTTCTAGCCGTCATGTGAACATGTATGTTACACATGAAACCTCAATTGTTCAGTGTCCTCCTAGC